TTAATCAGCTTTTTCATCCGTTCTTTTTTGGTTCATTGTGGCCTGTGAGAGTCTGAAGCAGAGGTGCAAAAAGAGACCTGAAAGTCCTTATTTTATGTCCTCCATTTATGTCCTTCCAATTTTAAAATATCTTGTGATGATGAGTCACTGTGTGTGTGTGTGTGTGTGTGTTTGTTCAGTTTTTTTATGAGTTTTGTGCTAGATTTGTTTTTTCAGAAGAAGTCTGTGTCCTGAATTAGGACTCTGACAATAGAGCTGCCAGTAGAATCATGAGGAGTATTGACAAACACCAAATTATGTTTATGATGTTAACTTTTTTACAGTTCTGTGTGTATCCCTCTTGTAAAGTTTTTTTTTGTGTCAGTTTGTACTTTTTGTTTGTGTATCTTTGCTCTAACTGGAGTTAGGTAAGCCTTGTAAATGTAGGTAGTATTTCTGTATGTGTGAGCTTTGACACCATTTGTGCCTATTTTGTTTGTCCTTCACTTGTTTCTAAGGCTAAATCTCTTTTATTGTGCTTTTTCAGTCACCAGACACAGTCCACCTGCTGGGATCATCCAAAGATGACAGAGCTCTACCAATCACTAGGTACATAATACAGAAAACCCCACAACATATGGTCCTGAGTATGTTGCCTCACACAATATTGAATAAAACCTGGTTGAGTGAAAACATATCACAGCACTCCTAGTGGCACTTAGCCATTCATTAGCCCAAATTAGGTTATATTACAGTACAGTAAAGGTATAAAAAAATCACCTTTTAACCAGACGGTGGACTATATTTGCTACACAATAATGAAAAACAGGTTTTTATCTTTTAATCTGTGCTTTGCGTGGCAGTACACAAGACTAACACAACAGGCAGGTGCCTACATGAACAGCATAGCATACACGCTGAATAAATGTAGCAATGTGCTGGAACTTTAGCCCTACAACATCCTACAACATTGTTTCACCGACTCATCTCTCTTGTTAAAGAGCGGATCTACCTAAGCAATCTCTTTGTTTAGGTATGTAAAGCTAATAAGCAAATAACAGAAGTGAAAAGTGCTGTGCTGTGGACAGAAGTTCAAAGTGAGTAACACTCAGAGCAGAACGGCCTGTTTGAGGCCACTGGATGGATATGTTTGGCTGTCAGCCTAAAACGAGGTTTGCTTCCACAACAGGATGCCAAACACATCCCACAATCCACTTTTAGCCATTAAAAAGAAACACAGACAGAAACTTTGAAAGGTTTTGCAGTCCGTCTGATGTGATCATCATTGAAGATCTGCCGAATGTTCCATTTTAGCCATCAAGACAGTTTAAAAATATCTCTGAACTTACTTACTGATTTGCATGTAGAGTGGTTAAAAATTCCTAATGGACAATAGGAAGAATCAGCTGTCATGAAAGTGTTTTGAAGGGTGGTCGCTAAGTGCCTAATAGTTAAGTCTATGAAATAAAAATGAACAGTTGATTAACATTTTAAGGAAAGAGTATTTTAATCTCTGCCGAGGGGGTTATTTATTTATTTCCAGTGAAGAAATAAATAAGATAAGATACTTCCCCTGAGGTGTGCAAACATTACAACTGTACATACCAGTCTTTTTATTTAACCCTCTGACAGTCGCTGATCTCTTGGCTCTTTCCTTCCCCGTGTCCATACTGATGTTTGTTTCCCTGTGGGATAGCCAGTATGACTGTTCTGTAATGAGCAGCCTGATTAGTAATAACCTGTGAAACTTTGGGAGCATCTGCTGTAGGCCAGCAGCTCAACAAATAGCACCGGTCCCCTCAGAGACGGAGCTCTCTGACCTAATTACACAGTCCACATTAGCTGCCCCTCCTACGCCGATCATAACCAGCAGAAGTCAGATATGAATGAAAAATCAGGTCTTGCTTTTGTTGCCCTGCGGGCAGATCCCTGTTGCCCTGCGTTTTCAGATCTCCTGCCTCCATTTTCTCATTGTCTATTTACCTTTCATCTCTCTGTCTTTCTTCCAACCCTGAAGCGGACTTGAACAATGTGAGATTCTCGGCATACCGAACGGCCATGAAGATCCGCCGACTACAGAAGGCATTGTGCTGTAAGTAAGACCCACACACGCTCACACGCAGCCCTCGTATCTGCAGCCGCCACCCTCTTCTTTTGATGTTGAGAGGATGCAGTAATGATTTGAAACCTTGCCAGATGCTGTGCCAGAGCGGCATGGCGGCCAAGAATATTTGGGCTTTAAAATTATCCCAGCTGCCTAAATATGTGTGTGTGTTTGTGTGTGTGCATGATCGCATCCACACGCAACCACAACCTGTGTTAAAGCCTGTTGGACGTAGCCTCATTTGGTGTGCACAGCTTGGATTTTTTTTAGGCCGTTTGTTTTTATTCTTAATAGGAAAGCTTTAGTTTCTGTCTTTCCTTTTATTGGAAGCTTTGATAAAGGTAGCTATTTCCCATAATCACAGGTGTCTGCTAACCTCATGTACAAAGGCAGAAAGCCACAATGGAGGTGTATGTAGACTTCCTCCCTTTCTTTTTAAAGATTTTAGTCAGCATTAAGCAGCTACTTGGAGTCAGCGCAGTGCACTAGTAGTGACTAATGATAATTATTATCCAGCTGTTGATATTATTAATGTAACACTGTGAGCCAGCACTGCACGTTTACACCCTGCTGTCTGTGTGTGTGAGGGAGCGTGTGTGAGGGAGTGTAAAGTATGAAAGAAATTTAAAAAGCACAGGTTTGTGTTTGTTTGTGTGCACGGACTTGTACAATTGTGAATAATTGAGTAATTGTAGATATCAGAGTGTTTTCTTCTGTTTTTTGTTTGGTAATGAGTTTGAATGATTTGGGCATTTTAGTTTTCTATTTGAGATTGCTTCTCTGATCACGTGTGTGTGTGTGTGTGCAGTGGGAATGCATCAGCCTGAGTGAATTTGATACGAGGCCCTGCAATTCAATTTCATCCATTAGATTAGAGCAGCCATGGTGTGGAAAGGTGCACGTACAGCCACAGCAGAGAGATCGGTAGATATTTGTTTCTAGCCTGTATCCAAGTGGCTATAGGACCTGCGTGTGGCTATATGAATGTTGGTGTGTTTGTTAGTGTGGGAGAGAGGATGAACCACACACACACACACACACACACACAGAAGTGTGACGGGGATACTATGAAACAGCTAATTGGGTTAAGTCTGTGCCAGGAGGCTGGAAAAGCACAAATGAGCTTGCATGGCATCTCGCTAATGTTCCACAGCCTTTTCAGCTCCATGCAACCACAAAGCTGGAGAGAAAGACAAAAAGTTTTGATTTTTGATAGCGTCGGATGGCATGGCTGCCCTGCTGTGCCCGCTCTATGTGAATTACCCCAGTAATTAGTGTTGTCTCGGGACTGTGAGAAGAGGCAGAAGCGAGGAAAGGGAATGACAGAATTTTCTTTTCGAAATAACCCTAAAAGACACGGCATCTCTCCTGAATATTAGCAGCTCATTCTTAACACACATTAAATCAGTAGGGCTGATCCTTTAAAAAAAGCCAGATATCTTCAAAGGATCCTGTGGAGTGAAAGCAGTTAAACATCTTGGTTCTTGCCTCTCACTCAATCCAGTTCCCTTTAATTTAAGAATAAATGTATCTGCTCACTTGCAGCCTTGCTGACACGCACACACATGTATATGTATCTATATGAGATAAGCCAATTAGCAGTCTTTAAATGTGCCAGGCAGAGGAATGTCAACTGTTGTTTTGTTTCCAGCTAAACCCAGCAGTCGACAGATCCACTCTGATATTCAGCAGATGAATAAAAGCTGAAGTGTTATTGATTATCTAATTTCCACCTTGGCAAGAACGGCAAAAAGTGTGCATTTACCAGAATGTTTGGATTCCTTTTAGTAATTCCATGTCGGTTTCAGTCTTTGTGTATTATTGTAAAAATAACATACCACCAATAACCAACTTTTTGCAGATTTTTGTGAAAATAATACAAATCACATGGTATTCTAAAGCTTCTGTTGTATTTTGTGATGACTCCGTTGCTTAGCTTAGGTTTTGTGTCCTACAGCACAGACTTGATGGGAATATGATGGAACAATATTAGACTTAGACTTCTTTTATTATTTCAACCATAAGCATCCTGTTTTGATCTTAAAAAAGGGAGCCAACAGCTACACCAACAGGTTTTTTCTCACTTTTTTTCCTCTCCATTTCTCCAATGAAGGCCGTTGCTTTATGGTTTCAGATTATGTTGGTGAAAATATCAATACAGTTTTATTAAGTGTGTATGAACAGTCTGTGCGTTTTTCAGTTCCCAGTTCTCTTCAGAGTGGCTTTGCTGGTATTTTTTAGTAAAATCTGGGATACTACTGTTTTAATGTTCAGTGAAAAAGCCAGTGAGGTGACAAATAATTTTGTCTTTTCATTATTTTTCTTTCTGCCTTTGCCACTCTGTGTTACTTCACCCTTGCTCAATGTTAACCATCTTTTATACTCCCCATCTCCCCTTTCACCTATCCCCCCCTCCCCATCTGCCACCTCGCTGCTGCTCTTCTTCTCTTCTGCACTGACCTGGACACTGCCTCCACCTGCAGTGGACCTACTGGATCTCAGTGTTGCCCAGAACACCTTTGAGCAACACAAACTCACCAACAACAATCAGCTGCTTTCCGTCCCTGACATCATCAACTGCCTGACGACCATTTACGACGGCCTGGAGCAGGAGCACAAAGACCTGGTTAACGTGCCCCTCTGCGTGGACATGTGTCTCAACTGGCTGCTCAATGTTTATGACACGTATGTATGCAGTCTGTTAGCTCATCATGATGTTAAAATCATTTCCCACATGTTTTTATGAAGCCACATTTATCTTTTCCGCTTTTCCAGTTATTGCAAAAAAAAGTCATATAAATGGTTTCTTTGTGTGCTTTTTGTTTACTAAGTTACCCCTGCTGCAGTATCAAGCATTGTTTTACTCTCCTTTTGAAATCTGGAAGTTCTACATATGAAATATCTTGCTATTTTCAGTGGGTTTTTTTTTACCCTGGAAATTCTAAATGGTTCTGCACAGTGCATTCAGTGGGAAAAGCTTGCATGTGCACACACACTCTTTGTGTAATCTCGTGTGTGTGTGTGCAGATGCTGTTTGCCAGCATCCTGACTGGTGTAAACACTGTTTGTTGGTACAAAATAAATTTAATTAGAATCACACTGTCTCTCACATTCATATATGAACACCAAGAAAAAACGCACTCATACACACACACACGTGCAAAATGAGTTGAGATCTCTCTTTCGAGGCCAGTAATGACTTTCTGTCGCTGCTGTTGTGTGCGGTACAAGCATTGCACTAAGAATAAATCTGACCTAACTGCTCTAATCTGGTGTGGTTTTCTGTCTGCAGCGGCCGCACTGGGAAGATCCGCGTGCTGTCCATGAAGATTGGCTTGCTCTCCCTGTCTAAGGGACACTTGGAGGAGAAATACAAATGTAAGTAGAAATGAGTAGGTGATGCATTAGATATTCGTAAACACACCATTGTCCCAGCCCGCCTCTGCACTTGAGTCTGCAGCAAGTCCGACCCACACCGCTGTAACCCCAACAGTATTAACCAAACGCAGGGAGAAAAAAAGAGAACAGCTTGTCTAATTGGATGAGCCACCTCCTACACAATTCCCCTGTTCTTTATTTAATTTTGCATTCTGATTTATTTTTGCGGATTAAGGAGTGAGAACGTAGGCTTGCTGCCCTGGGAGGAGGCTTGTCAGTCTGACTTCCTGCTCTTTGTCTCTGCTGCTGTATCTCCTCTGTCTGTCACTACTCACACCGGTGTTCTTCTGTCTAACGATTCCACTTTGTGCGTTGTCCTATCTCACTCACCGTTGCTTCCCCTCCTTTACTCTTTTCCCTTCTCTTCTCCTGCCATGTGCCATGGCCTGAACCCTATCCCTGAGCCTATTCGTTCCACTGGCAGTTTCTATTAGACTGAGAAGGGTATTGAGTACGGCTGATTGCATTCTTCCTCCCTTACTCTGTTAGACTGTCAGTTCCGTGCATATAGTCTCACTGCATGGCACATATACTTAATCAGGTGATGTGCAATTTAACGCTCTTTTGGTGGCTGTTGAAAATGTCATATTTAATTGTGCAGCAGAGAGTATTTAGATGGAGGAGTGAGCATTTGGGAGGCAGATGCCAAGGGAGAGGTAAAAAAAAAAAGCAGGTCACAAACAGCCATCATTTTCTGGTGTTTGTATGTGCCACATGTGTACACACATGCATAATAGGAGCTGGAATCAGCACCAGGCTTTACACAGAGATCAGAGACCCACTTTCAGAGCTGTCACACTGTCCCCTTTTCAGTCTCCTCTCCTTCCCGGGATTACCCTGCCGTTGCTCCCTCTGCCCATTTTGCACATCAGCTCTGTCATCTTTCAAAGATTCATCAGAAAAATGTCGACACGAGACGTGTGTCAGTGGGTAGGCATCAGTACAGCTCTGCCAATCATCACAAGGAGAGTTGGAGGCATTAACCAAGAGATTATAGGGGGAAAGCATTGCATGGAAGAACTAAGAGAGAGATTAGAAATGAATTTGTTTCCCCAGTGCTTTCTGTGTCCTCCCTACCACCTCCCACCCGCATATACACACACTTCACAACACTTTTACTCCCACTCGCAGCTATACGTCACGCTTTATCCCTCTCTATCTATTTATACCTATATCTTTTCTTCTTGATATCCACGTATTCTGACACTTCCACCATAGAACATGTCCTCATTTTTCTTTTCCCCTCTTCGTTCTCACTTTGCTTCCCTCCTACACAGATCTCTTCAGCCAGGTAGCATCAGCAGGCGACACCTGTGACCAGAGGCAGCTCGGCGTCCTGCTCCACGAAGCCATCCAGATCCCGAGGCAGCTGGGGGAGGTGGCTGCATTCGGAGGCTCCAACATTGAGCCCAGTGTTCGCAGCTGCTTCCAACACGTATGTTCACAGAAAGATGAAGACGCGCAGCACACGTCTGCGTGGTCGTGTACACATGTGCTTGAAAGGAAATATTCTCTTGATGTCAACTGGATTACTAAAAATATGTTTTTCAGTTCCGTCAGCTCTTACCCAGACCTGTGCCAGAAATCTTACTTGGCTGTTTAATTTATGCCTGTTATCTGTGCCTTAATGGGCTGACAGCAACATTAATTAGTCTCAGGAACAAATTACCACATGTGACGGGTAATTAATTTATTGTTTCTTTTTTACCAACTTTCCTTTCTGGCTTTATATTAGCTATGCATTTTCTCTACTTGTGGGAGATGTGGTTTTAGATTTGCTTTTATTTCCATCTTCTGACCCCAACATCCCCCATTTAGCATGAATGTGTTTAATAGAAGAGGCCACAGATCCCCATAGAGAATTATTTCCATTACATCTAAAGGACTTTTATTACAATGACTCTTGTGACATGAATTAACATCAAGTGTATCTCCTAAAAGCTACTCGTTAAGTTCTTCAGGTTCTACTACCTTCCACTTCCACATCTCCCTTCTGTGGTCATTTAAAATAGAAGTCTGTGTTTAAGCTTTGTTGACCGACCATAGAGCCAATGGCTTCCAGACGTCTTCTGGCTGTCCTTCAGTGTTTTACTGCAGCCAGTAGTACATTTAGCTTGGGTTTATCTCTTGACATGACTGATATTTAATGATGCCGCCATCCACCCCAGTTCACTATTTTATTTTCCTCACCGTTTCCACCCCAGCTCATGTTTCAGCATACATAAACGTGAACCAGCCATTAAGATTTTACTGATTTTCTGCTCTCCACTCTCAAAAATAGCAGAGTGAGACAAATGTAAAGTTGATCTTACTTTTGGTTCCTGTTCAAACAGGATAAAAACAAACCTGTCACTGGCTTGATGTTATATTTACTCACGCATGCGCATATTCACGGACAAATTGCTCACAGGCTTGGTCATGAATCTCTGTGTCAGCTGTAGTTCAGTTGCTCATTAATCATTCAACCATTCGGCCATGTTTGGCACACATCTCATCTCTCGCTGCCTCTCCTGCATTTACACATTCATACAGATGGACTCTGGGCCACCCTGTGCACCAGTTTGCCCTGCCAGTGACGGTTCAGTCTCCCACTCCATTTGGTTTAATGGGTCTGTGATGAACAAGTTTCACCGCCATAAATTTGGCCTCTTTCACTGTTCTTTTGTCGCTCTCCTTCATTTTTTCATCCATCCCTCGATCCAGTCATCCTTTTAGCTATGAAGTAATTAATCTCTAAGTGCTATAATTCTGCCGTTAGATAGCCAGGAGGAGGGAAACCGGGTGAAGATGCGACTAATATATGTGAAAGGACAGAGGGTGAGATGTGCATGCGAAGGTCAAATTGAGGGGTGGGAGGATTGAACGTTTATCTGAGATGTTGCTAGAGTGAAGAATTAGTTTGAGACAACCTCTCTTTATCAGGGGAGATATTTAGACTTCGCCAACTTTTGAAATATACACGTAATTTCCTGTGCATATAGTATCACCTATGTTTAGCTTTTATGAGGGACAGTCTTAATGAAACATAGATAGGTTGGATAATTATATGTCAGTTCCCTATAAAAGCTTTTCATTCCTACCTTTATGTTTCAGTGAACTGATTGCAGTTTTTTTACTCAGAATATAACAGAAGGACCTTTTCAGTTTTAGGTAAAGTCACTTGTATTTTCCCAATGAACTGGACAGATGTAGATCCCACCATATTTTTTAATCATTCTAGGCAGATAATATATCAGCTGTTTAGGATTAATAAACAGTTTTGGAGATCTGCATCTTCAAATCGTTATACACAATGGAAGAAAGCTAAAAATTAGATTAACAGCCAAGAATTAGAAGTTTTGGATTGTCCAGATTTCCTCTTATGCGCTTACAGTATATATACGCACTCTGTCAAGCCTTTGTTAATGCAAACGTTTTATTCCTTTTGGAATGATGTTGAAAGATGAGTTTCATTCTCAGAATAGGTAAACCTATCTGACTTTGCATTCTGAAATGCAATCATTCACGGGTAAATGTGAAAGCTTACAAGTGAAGAGGGGTACAAATCTGAATAAATATTTGATCCCACTTTTTTTTTTGGTGCCTGGCTTTTTCTATAATTAGTTTTACAAGCATATTTTGTATAAATAATGTAATCTTATCTCACTGCCAACTCATGTTTTTGGAAGCTAGCTGTGAATATTAATTCAAACAGTAAATCCCTGATTATAATTTTAGGGTAACGATGTGCCTGTTTGGTTTGTTTCAAAGCATGAATTTATCTTCAGAAGGATATGGTAATCAGGCTGAGATGCTGTACAGTCCTACATAAAAGGATCAGGGGAACACACACACATACTTTACCTTCTGATAATTCTCTCCTTTTTTTGCAAATGTATGCTGCCCTTTGCTGCGTTTGGTGCCCTTTTTATGTGTCGGGGATGATGGAAAGGTTGCCTCGGATTTGCTTAGCGCTAACAGCAGCCACATCAAACACCCTCTATTGGCTTATACCTCATTATAATCTTCTGTTGCAAAAATATTTTGTGAATACTGCTGGACCAGGTGATATTTTTGAACCGTTCATTTATTAAATGAATAAACAGACGCAAAATGTTCAGTTATTTCAATAGCATAAAAGATTTGTGAGTGGGCTAGGAGATCCAAAGAGCTTTAATGATGGCGAAAGGACTTCTTGAAGACATTTCACTCTTATCTGAAAGGCTTTTTCAGTTCACACGGACAGAAAATAGAATAAAAAAACTTTCCCTCCTTATTTAACACTAAGCTTGACACCGTGAAAGTTACATAAAGAGAAACACCTACAAAAGTTTAGAGCAGCAGTTAGGAGTCGTGTTTGTCACAGCTACGTGCTGAGAGCATCGTGACTGCTGGCTAACAGTGTGGATACAGGGCTTTAGGACAAGGGGAGACAGGGTGCTCAAATCAATCACTGTTTATTAGGAGATATTTAAGCAATAAACATGAATAAAGAGCTCATAAAAACTATTTAGTCTCGGTTCACAACTCAAGACTATTACATGCCTCAGGAACTTGTCACTTTAATCTATACAAATTGTCACCTGAAATTTGTCCTCATGTTTATTAGGATTTTAGTAATGAGTGAAGAGTTTCAGCCTGTTTTTTTATTCTGTTTTGCATTTTTAACCTCATGCTGCAAAGTTCCTTGACAGTTAGTCATCTCCATTTGTTGAACCTTTATAGACGCCATAAACTTCATACGGTTGATAAACGATGAAACGTTTATCAAAGGCTGTGAATGCTTGACCTTTTGTCTTTGATGCACAGGTAAACAATAAGGTGGAGCTGGAGCCTCGGCAGTTTGTCGACTGGATGCGCCTGGAGCCCCAGTCCATGGTTTGGCTTCCTGTCCTGCACAGAGTGGCAGCCGCAGAGACGGCAAAACATCAGGCCAAGTGTAACATCTGCAAGGAGTGTCCGATTGTGGGTTTCAGGTACAAATGGTCTCTTTCTCATACGTAGCATTGATCAGAATTCCAGAAAATGGGGGGGCAACAAAGCCTACAGCTTAATGCACAAAATGTGACACTGTTCTGGGCTGTATTCTCCTTGTTGAACATAAAGGGCACATCTGCTCTGGAGGGCAGCCATTTATCTAAATGTCAGCAGCTGATACACCCCTGACTAAATACCATCCAAAAGGTTTTGCAACAAAACATGTACACATGGTCTAACAAAACAGACGGCTGAAAATTACAAACAGGACACCAGCATTTCAAATAGTTCACCGAGATCCTTGGAAACAGCCTTCAAAAGACCTCCCTCTGAAACAGTGACAGCTCACATTTACTCCCGCAACTTTGGTCCTGATGCACGACTCTCGCACAGTTGCAACAGGTAAACAAAGACCAACTCTTTAGGTTAGCTCGTCGCAAAATTCCGCTTTTCCCTTTGCCTGAAGATGGTCGTAACACCCTGCTAAGTAAAGTAGAGTGGCAGCGTTGTCCCCTACAGATCCCTTGCTTTGCAAGCAGAAACAGAAACGCATTCAGACATTTGATGAAGTGCACGCCTCCCAAGTTGTGTCATTGATCGATGAGAGCCTGCGATGGTGGGAAGTAAAGGCAGCTAGCAGGAATGAAAAAGGAAGGAAAATGCAGAGCAGGCATTTTGTGTGGTCTGACATGACACCAAGCATGTTACAAGCAGATTTTCTTTAGTCTACAGAGCTTTTTTCCCTTCTTCTTCTAACCAAAAAAAGGCCAGAGAAAAGGTATATATACAGTTTATAGTTGTTTTAACTGGGGTATTAATCTAAAGACAAGCAACTAATTTTGAACATAAGTTTTTGTTAACAGACAATTTGACAAGTTTTTCAGAAAAGCCGTTTGTTTACAGAGCCTTTGTTAAAAGTATTCGGTTCTAAAACGTTTGAAATAGAGTGCTTTGGTCTATCTTAGCCAAATAATCCATTTTGTAACTCAGATCAGATAATTTATCAGTACTGCCGCGGTTACTGCTTAGACCTGCATTCCTTTGGTAGTTTACACTGTTGACGGCATTTTTGGGAAGTATTGAACAAAGTTTTCTGAATAAAATCACGGCTTCTTAACGGATACGGGGGTTTCACCTCGGCACATTAGGCATCAACAGCTCCATAATTAACAAAAACTGTTTTTTGGGTAAACTCATTAATTCAGGGCCATCTCATCATTTTCAGAGTGAAGGTGACTTAACACCCCCTCCTCATAGGAATATGCTGCTTGTCAGTACTTAATGGCATATTTGACTTAGTGCCGTGGTGTGCTCTGTTGCATCCTTTGATATATGGCTCTCTTTTGTACCTTATCAGTCCGCTAACCTTGGGGAGAGCTTGAGAGGAGAGAAAGATAAAAGACTTGAGCTATTATGTCTGAATGGCTCCTGTCTCAATTCCGCTGTTAAATAGCAGCCTCGCGCTACAGTTGCTAGTGAGCACAGCGTCCCGGCAGTTGTTGCCCCGTTGTTGTATTTTTCAAAAAAATCCAGCCATCTGTCATTTCCCTCCGCATGTTGTGCACGTATGTATGTGTGAACATGAAGGTGTGAAAAGCAGACCCGTGGGGACATGAAAGAGACAATTGCAGGCTGCACTACCAGAGCCAACTTTGATGATTTTTCACCTCCTTGTGTCTCTTTTTGTGTGCCTCTCTGTAGATATCGCAGTCTGAAGCATTTCAACTACGACGTTTGTCAGAGCTGCTTCTTCTCTGGGCGCACCGCCAAGGGCCACAAACTCAACTACCCCATGGTGGAGTACTGCACCCCGGTGAGGGAGCGGCACACGCTGTTTGGTTGATCATCTCATATCTCCTCCTCACATGCTCGCACCCTCCACTCAGCCGTTTAATGAAAGCACACAGATCCACAGTTCCAGGCTTTTGTTACCTCCGAAACCATCTGAATGTCAAATAAACCACAGATTCTTCCGCCATTTTCATATTAATTCTGTAATTACACACAGCCAGACGTCAGAGTCATTACAGCTGCTCAGTTGTACATGTTTCATACCCGGTGGTGTAACATGCCCCGAAAACGTCCCGCCGCTCGATCGCTCGTTGCGTCTAAATCGCAGGTTTTCTTTGTTTGGTTTCATTCACAATTTGTTAAACACCAATTATTCCTAAATCCATCTGCATTCTGTTGTAGCTAAAACAATGTTTACTATTGTGGGACGGTTGTCAACATGCTGCTGGAACCTGGTCGCGGGGATTTTTCTGAGCCTCAGTGGTGCTGGGCAAACATCACTGAGCCTGCTGGCTTCCACTCAAAGCTTCTGCTCATCCCAAAGGGGCTGTGGACCCACTTAGATTTCTCCTCACAAGATATTGCAAACTATTTGCTGTTGCACTACTTTTAGTCATCCTGTTAAAATTAAAGTCATTTATTTGGATGTGGGGGCCATTTTTTTCTGGGATGCACCAGACTGAGTTTCTTTTCTCTGCTAATACCAGTGTCTTATATTCACAGATGTTTAATATTTCTGTTTGGAATGAATAAGAAACATTTATAGATAGGAAAAAAGGAAAGAAGAAGAGCTCCTAATGACAGAGAAACATTTAAATGCGTAATGAAATGACGATGAAATGGTGTTTAATTTTGACAATTCTGAGACTTCTGTTCAGAAATTCTTGTCGTTGAACAGATTGGAAGAAACCTAATTTTATTTGGTCTGCATACAGTCTGACTGCATGGATATGTCCTCACCATTATTAAGACAATCTAACATAGACTCGTAGCTCGTCTTTACGACCCTCTTCCCAATACTGCAGTTTATTCCACAATCATCCTGCGCAACAGACCACAAGCTTCATTTGAATTTATGTGAGCAAATAGTAAAATACTCATGACTCTCCAGAGTCTTTTTATGATTTCTGCTTGAAGGCAGTATTTCACTTCAGTGCAACACAGAGAGGAGAGTATGGGGAATAGTCGATACTGGTAAAACTGAACACTGCTCTCTTTCTCAATTAGGAAATCACATTTATGGAACCACCCATTACAGTTTTTTTTAGTAACTCAAGCTGATATTGTTGTTTCTCTTTTCTATATTAATTTTCTTTTTCAATTTTGCTAATTGGATATGTATTAACTTTGGAGGAGCAGTTTTAAAGAGAAGCGGTTGCTCTTTTCTGAGTTCAGACATTCTTATTTTCATCTTGAAAGTTAATTTGTTCTGTTTGTATAACTCTTTATAGGCGCTGTAGGGTGCAGTCGTCTTTCAGGAGCTTAATGAGTGTCTTCTCAGTAGGAAAGAAATCTAATGTTAAAAGATCTTTTTTTTTGTGCATGAAAAGTTGAGCTAGAGCTTGGGAAGAAAATCGAAGCAACTTTAGTTCAACCCCTGTAAATGGTTTGGGACAGTCTATACATAAATGCCTCTGCTGGAAGCACAGTCAGGTCTCAGTGACCCAGGCAGCTGCATGAGCTGGACTTAGATTGGCAGCACCAAGCAGCTAAAACCTCCGACAGACAGTGATGAGCAAGTTAGAGATCTGTTCTGCTTGTGACAGAGATGTTTTTATCAGCACGCTATAGATTGTGTGAAGGGAATGACAGCATAGGAAAACATGTTGGATTAAACAGATATTTGAAGTCAATCATAATGCTGAGTTTAAAGCCCTCCAACAAACGGCCACAACGGCCCACGCTGAACAGCAGGATGCTGCTGCTCACAACACACAGCTGGAAGATGTAAAGATAAAGCCATGACTACTGACAGATTTCAGAGGAGGCTTTGCTTTGTGGTCCAACTGTGTTGTGCTTAAATAATGTCCTCAAGCAAATGGGGAGATCAGTGCTGGAACGGCTGTGGAACAAAGGAAGAAAAGTTTTATTTTCAAGAAAAAACTTTGAGGGAAAAGAAGCAGAGCTCAAACATGAAAGTTGCTTATCACACACAACTTAGATTGAATAACCTTTTAGCTGGTGAAAAAAAAGATTTATTTAAGGCTGAAATGTCTACTAGAAGGAAATACATTTACTGAATCATGACAGTGACTCTAAAAGGAATCAGCTCACGTTTTAAATCCCACAGCTCAGCCTAACTTAGTTTTATTCTGCACACTTGTTTTGAGAAGGGCTGTTTTTTCCTCTATCCCTCCAGAATATTATTCCATCATTATATTTATCCTTCACTGGTGGTCAAACCAATGTGGGTTTCGGTTTGATTCCCTTAATCTAGAGTCCACACTGAATAATAAACCAGATTTGCTGAGTTAAAGATTGACAGTTGCATTTCTTCAGCAGCAGTTTTCTAAAATTGTTTCTCTCTTCTTTGCCACACTGTTTATTTTATGGCTGTGATATTGCTTTTTTATTAGGTTTACATTTTTTTTTAAATGGAAAAGCAAATTCACAATTGTATTTTTTTCTGTTAGTGATATAAAAGAACCCCCCAAAATATCAGTTAAACCATTTTTTAAAGAGATGCTCTCTTTATAAAGAGAGCATAATTTTCATCTTGAGTCCTACTGTTTTGCAGCTTGTGCAGATTTGCTGAGGCCATTGTCATGAATATTGTGAATTTGTCAATAAACAACGCAAACTTTGTTTGTGTATGTTAGCAGTGGTTATCAGAATCCCCAGTAAAGGGATTTACTCTTTTTTTTGGCAGAGGTAATTTGTTGTTTTCCTACATGGCAGAAAGCACTTCTACAAGAGGCCTTTGCTAAGTGTCTAATTAACAGACACATTTCCTTCCAGACAAATGCTCATCCTGATCACATGTTCACCAGAGGCTGTTGAAGTGCTTAAGCTCACAACAAAGAACAACAAGTGGCCTGAATATGCTAACACCAACTGTTTCTTTTTTTCCCCCCCTCCTTGTCGTAGACGACGTCAGGCGAGGACATGCGGGATTTCACCAAAGTCCTGAAGAACAAATTCCGGTCTAAAAAGTATTTTGCCAAGCATCCACGGCTGGGCTACCTACCGGTCCAGACGGTCTTAGAGGGAGACAACTTGGAAACGTAAGTAACTCTTGAATATATTTATCCAGCAAAGCGGTGCTTCAGTTGTGTTGTCCATTAATGCATGGTCCAGTCTGTTGGTGATCACCATGACCTGTCTTATTCCTCATAAGGAAAATGTAACTTCATTCTGCATTTCTTTAGTATACAGGCAGTATAAAAACAAGAAAGATTGACAAGATTGAGGAGTTAAGATTCAAATCAATCTTCTAGCTGTGAAGATATAAACCAAACAGGCTGATCCTAAATATTCTGCTTATCCTGATTTGGATGAGCGTCACACTGGACTGTGGAGTTATTGTTAATTTCACACTTTGTGTACTTAGTTTTATTACTTGTTTGTCCAGGAGCCATTGTCAGACTGTAGATCAACTGTCTGCCGCCTGAGTCACAGTGACTAATTTATGCCTTTTCCTCTGGCAGTTTTAAATCCCTCCAGAGAGCCGTTTAACTAGGCCTGCTTTATGCAGATGCCACAGTTGAGCACGTCATTCGCCTCAGCAGTAGCTCTTCCAGAAATTGTTGGGTTTGCTCTGAGACCACAGTGGTTTTTACTCTTTTATTGTTTCTTGTGTTATGCACCATCTGTTTCTGTCTCTCCGTCAACATTTGTGCATTGTGTGCGATCAATTTTTACTCCTATAGTAAGAAAAAATAAATAAATCTTACTTTTGCTCTTTTACTTTTGAACTATGTAGTTTTCCATCATTTTAAAGAGCAGCAATATGCTGCTTTTCTGATAAAAGTGAGTCACCTGTTGAGTCACAATAGCTCTCTCCCTTGCAAAGTTTCACAGATGGAGTAGTTTTTCTTTCATCTTCTTATCCTTGTCCGTCCTCCTCCTCACCTCCCACCTCGTTCTATTCTCACTTTCCTCAACACTAAAAAATGACTCCCACAGAGATGCCTGGCTGATAAATGTCCAAACAGCAGAGCAGCTTGCAAAAATGCTGAGATATTTTTGGGAGGGGAATAAAGACATACAGTTCAGTGGTCTGCATTGTCGGGTCCTGGTTGTTGCATTCCATCCCACATGTGTTTCCATAGACTGTGTAGAAGGTTTTTGCAATTTTAAGTATTTGATGGGTTAATTAGCGCATTCTAACGTACAGTCAGAGAAGAATGCTCACAATAATTTCAACCAATGTCTCAGTTTTTAGGCTTCTGTCATTTTTCACGTGCATAAGATTAATACTGGGACCAAAATAGAAATGGATTATCTCGTTATTGGGACCAGATTCATAGGTTCCTCCCTACCAAGAAGAATGGCGCACATTTGGAAAGTGCCAAAACAATTACAGCAATGCTTGTTGTGATAAGAACATGATTAATCGCTATTTTTCAGAGTACTTAATCTTAATACTGGAGAAAAAAAAAAGTCAGCCAGCCATTCAATTTTTTCCCTCTGTTTTCAGTGTTACAATATCTTTATATCACTGGAAACCATTTGGATGTACTATCAGCTCTTGGTCATTCGAAGAGAAGGAGCTTCTTACAAGCTTTTATTGTAGTGTTACAGCTGAGTAGGTAAGATTGTCTAGTGAATAATGTGACACACACATTGTCTCTTCTAATTCTTAGGTTTTTTATAATGGTAGAGAATCATTCAACTGGTTATGTAGGGTGAATGTAGAGCAAATTAGATATTTTTAAGATACAAATGAAACATTTCTTTAACCATGGAAATATTACAAACGCAGTATCAACAAAAAAAAAGTCTTATGAAATATATTTTTTATAATATTAAAAAATATTATGTATGAATTAACTGTGTATGTTGTATAACTGCATACCAATAGGTGTTAGTCTGATAATAAAGGGCTCATTGATATCCTGTCATTAATCAAGTTACTTTTAGTATCTGAAGCACTTTTAAAGTGCACATGGCACAGAAAAACAGCCTTTGACTTAGACATACACACACAGACACACACTTTCCCTCCCAACCCTGCAGCCGGCTCTCTAAAACCGACAGGTTGAGGTGTCAGCATGCTCACATGGTCTTTGCAGTTTACAGAAAGAATAGGGGACAGTTAGCAGAAAGAGTCAGTGTTAACTGTGACAAAGTGACTACCACAGCATGATGGACTAAATAGATTTTTTGAAACCTCGCAGGGCTTTCACCCAGGAAGGAAAAAAACTTGAAAAACTGAGTCACACACTGTGCAGGTTTGACAAATCTATGAAGTGATGACCAAAGACGTCCACTCACGGCAGTGTCCTCCGTTTTTTTTCTCTGTCAGACTCAGCAGTTCCTTTTTTTTTTTCAGGAGCCACAGGGGTAATCATTCAACAACACTTATCAACAGATAAGTGTTTGTGGAATGATTTTAGATGTCTTCTTCTCACTCCTCACGGGTTTGAAGTCATACTGAGTTTGTCTTTGCCATTCCGCTCCCCCTTTCTATTAGTGTTTTGGTATTTTCATCACAGCTTGGTTTGTTTTAAAAATTTATTTGGCTCATTAGGCCACTTCATGAGTAATGTGTCTTTCTTTGGGCTTCCGGGTCGGCCTGTGTAGACATTCAGAACAGCGTGGCTGAAAGTGAAAAAGACACGGCTCTACCCGGCCCTCCTTTGTTACAGCTCCCATTTCACTCTTCAGTGTAAACTGCTTCTGCCACGTTGAAGTGAAAGCTGTGTCACTGGATGTTTTTACACAAATCTAGGGGAGAGAAAACGATCCACAGTCTACAAAGCTATCAATCTTTTGCAAAGATAAAACTAAATTCCCCTCCTGAAAGAAAAAAAAAAGAGCGTTCAGACTCCTCCTTGAGGCTAAGACGTTGCTCAGTGTGCCTTGCCGGCCCTGATCTCTTTTTCCATCCATACGCTCCATCTGAGTCTTCTGTTCTGAGCTCTCCTTGCAGCTACACAAGTGGCTTCTCTGCTGTCAGGAACAGCCACAGTGCCACATTGTCTCCTTCTGAATTTCTCAGCTTTAATGTGAGCTAAAAAAAGTGGGGCTGAAGAATGTCAACCTCAACTCTTATCTTTCCAATTCCCAGCCAGTCTCCTCTGTGAAGCAGCCCAGTTCTTTTTGTTTGTCAGAACAGACGGTGTCCCACATGTTTACAAATAAGCTTGGCGCTGCACGTCCAAAAATAGCAGCAATTAGCACATAATAGAAGTCATAAACTGGAAAAAGCTTGGGACTATGATCCAACAGACTCACACGTTCTATTTTTTTCGTACCTTTTCCAAAAGTATCTCCCTTTCCATCTCCTTTTGAAAGTGTAAACAGCAGTGAATCCTGCAGGTTTGTGTGCTTTAAGCTTTCACTGGCACAGCCCAGGATTACCACTGCCCTGTGACATGGCCGCGCCACGAGGTGCAGATAAGACTGATTGTTTTACATGACTGTCCTCGGCAGTAGCTCCAGCCACTCAGCCACTGGATGTACTTTCTCCCTCCACTCCTTCCTCGCCCTGCTGTGTTCTCACTGTGTGGTTTTGACCCTAAAATGTTTTTTGGTACTCCCCTCCCCTCCCTCCCTGCAATTCTCTTACAGTCCCGTCACCCTCATCAGCATGTGTCCGGAGCAGTATGAGTGAGTATCTACACCAGCAACTACCCCTCATCTTCAAACTGGAATGCCTATAAAACAACACCTCCTTTACACTCTTCCCTCCTCACTCATCTCCCTCCCATTGTCCTCATGCTCACACCAGCTAAGCCATGGCTGCCCTGCATGTTGCCTGACTGTCTGCCCTACTGCCTGAGCCACCAGTTAAACATGCAACCACAAAAAAACTCTCCCACTGTCTGCTCAGCCCCCCCTCTCCTTGTTAAAGCTCCAACTAGTGTTCAGTTGCTCATCCCTGCCAGGCTGTCGGAAGCCATCCAGCCACTTCGTAGATCACTCAGAGCTTTTCTATTTCTCTCTCTAGGATCACCAGATTTGTTTCTAGGTGATATTGCGAAGGGCCATTAGGTCGTGTGAGGGAATGTGTGCATGCACCAGTGAATCTCTGTCTTTTAGCTAGGCTGGGTGGGCTTACCGAATCTCATTCATCTCCATTACTCCATTCATTTCCAGGCTGTCCCAGTCACCCCAGCTCTCTCATGATGACACCCACTCCAGGATAGAACAGTATGCCAGCAGGTATGCACTTCAATCTCCCGTCACCATCATATCATGTCGGAAGACATGAAACACACCAGCCCGAGCAATCTCAACCTGCTGATGAAATTTCTGTTAGTGTTAACAGCTAATGTTTAAAAAATCTGAGTGGGTGAAAAGAAGAAGGAGAACCATCAGGGTACACTGGATTTTTGCTCTCAAGAGACTCAGGGAGGTCTTGGAGCTTAATTAGCTTGTTAAGGAACTGGCATTCATCATCAGCAAAAGACAAGTGATGTAAAGTTCCGGGCTTTTTAAATCATCTCACTTAAAATGTTAAAGACGCACTTCATATCTAACTTAGTGCCCGGAAATTGGGTCACTCTTTGCTCTCTGAAATACTCAGAGCAGCAGAGACGTTTTCCAGGAGATGCCCAAATCTTTACCTACCACTTAGACCTGTTTGTGTTGTGCGTGAAAGTAATAACAGTTTATTATATATCAGGAAGAAAACCACATTTAAAACAAAATAACTTCTTTAAATATAGTTCAGCACAAGTAATGTATCCATGTTGTTGATGAACAAAAGCTATGAGCAGTGTTCAGTATGTGGCTTTCAGTCTGAAATTTTAATTAATTACAACACAGCAATAACCTGATTTTGTTAGCAGGAAGAAAGATTTAGCAACCTAATGAAACCACAAATGAAAAACAGCATATAAATGGAAAACAGTTGGTGCTTGCAAACTGGCCTAAAAGCACACCATTTTGCTTGGGGCCAATTATCAACACAAAAGTAAAATGCTGCGCATGTCGATCATCGTAAACAGAGTGAAATTCAGTGAAAGCCAGACTCTTGTATCATAAGATGTCTATGTGATGCAAGTAATGAATGAGTGGAATCCATTTTATTTTTGCTATTTATGCTCAATACTTTGGGAAACACATCTGAAATTGCCGCCCAGGATGGAAAGCAAGTGCATCTGCAAAGATCAAAGGATGGTGTTTATGACTGGTAACTGAACTGAGTCCATTAAGCTGAGACCAAACAAAACGAAGGAAACTGCACCAAATTGATTATAAAAATGAGCCATTTGCTCTCATTTGTGTGCTGGAAGTGTCTTTGTAACCTATTTAATGCAGATGAAAGAAAGGAACTGTTCTCTAGTTTCCCTTTAAAGAGCACCTATACAGCTTATCGCATTCAGTAAGGTCCAGATTACACTTTTATGGGACTTTGGTCCCCATAAATGTTCTTTATTACTTTTGATAAAGGATGGTACGATAAAGGATGGCACTAACTACTTTCTTAGTTACACTTTCCATGCTGTAGGTTAGCACTACCTCTGCCCTCAGAGCAGCCTTTAATACATGTAGATATGTGTAGTCATGGCTATAGGGTTTAATGAAAATACAAATAAATGCTGCTAATAGGAACATTTCAAAAGACGTGTGATGTAAAAACAACCTTAGCGACATTGGAAACCTTTTTGTGGCACCGTTAGCCGTCTTGATGTCTGAGTGGATGCACAAAAGCTCTAAAAATAGTATGTTTGTGTGTACTCATCGTCAGACTCTGTCTGTTTTGTCGTGAATTCTGAGGCTGTCCTCGACTTTGATCCCAGCAGAAAAAACTATAATGTGGCCAGCCATGCCACCAGCAGATGAACCCGATAGCAGTTTCCAGATGCCTACTTCAAACAAGCGTTAACAACACCCCCAAACTAATGTTCTGCTGCGCTGAGATTTAAATCTTGTCTGATTTGACGTTGCATTAATCCCATCATCCCCCTTGCATAAATTTCTAATCAGCTGAAATCTTATCTTTTCTGAAGCGGGTACTGATAACTTCAATGGAAAACACAGCCCACTGTACTTCTCCACAAAGCTTTAATCAAGAACGCTCATCTGATGCAGCACAGCTGCATCTGGCCTTTAACCTCGTACTGCCCATACACCATTAACCTTAACTCAGTCTTTCTGTTGGCAATTAGACATCAGAAAAGATGCAGACTGGAATAACAGATTTAGCTGATCTGTTGAGGCTAATATTAGAGACTACATCGCGGCTCATTCATGTCCATAAAAAATGTACATTTGACTTCACAGCTCAGTATTTTAACTAAGAATTCGCTGTGAATCATATCCATATCATTTGTATAACACGGTGTGGTAAATGCAGGCTTTGATCTGGGAACCAGCCTCATCAGCATGACTGCTTTGAATGGATCTGTTACTATGAAATCATAAAATGTTTTCCTGACACACACCACACACAGCCTCACATCTCTGCCAAACATAATCATCCGCACACAGTATTTTGTGTATTTTCACACATGCTTTAGGATGCATTAGTTTACATAATCTATAAATGACCAGAATCAAAGCAGCTTTGAGGAAAATAAATCAGCTTTACAGTTTTTTTTCACTGGTCTTTTACTCTTTACTGGAACATTGACACCCAGTTAATGCATTAGTTTAAGGCACCATGTTTTTTTCTTTTTTTTTTCTTTTCAGGTTGGCTCAGATGGAACGCTCCAACGGTTCCCTGCCCACTGACAGCAGCTCGGCTACAGGAAGCATGTGAGTCACTATGGGTCATTCTCAGCATTTTTTCTTAATCTAATACGACTTTCCACCAAGAAATGTTCACAATGACAGAGGGATGGGGTCATACCTTTACAGCATTTGGTTTCAAAGGCACCACCCTCCATTCTCACCATTAGAGAACTGACCAGACCTGAAGCTCCACTTATTGCATGAAAAATTCAAGATTTCATTACCCAGTAACATATCTATAAAATAAGGAATTCTGTATTTAAAGTCTAGAGTCAGCACTATTCAACAGGTTGTTATTTTTTTACCAACATGTTACATTTTAGTGTTAGTGACATTAAATAACCTGAAGAACAAAGTATTTGAATCAACAAACCTGGCCAGTTACCATTTTAAAAAAGGAAAAGAACTCTCACCCAGTTGAAATTTAGTTCTGATCCCAATATATTTTATTTCATATGATGCTCAAGTAGCTCTGTGGGTCCTTGTTGGATTTCCTTTACCAAGACGAGAGATGATTCAATTGAAAAACAAGGTAAAATGTCGATGAAAACCCTGAGCCTGAATGTGTGTGCACGTCACTACAGAGGGCCATTAGAGGTAAAGGTTATGCTCTTACCAAACAGAGGCCCATACTCTTTAAGGTGTGGTTGCACTTTCAATAGAGTCGATTGGTATAGAATTGTAAGTGCCATCATATTCCAAAGCTGTTTGAAAACAGAAAAATGATCCATTTACTGCTTTAAAATGAATTAGAATAGATCAGGGATTTCTACAATAGAAATTCTTTAAAAAGGCATATTTTCGGCACAACAATGGACAAGCACTGAGGAAGATGTTAAAACCTTGGAGAATGTTTCACTGAAACCTCCAGCGTCATTGAGTGGTAGATTGCATTCTTTTGCTTCTGCATCACTTAGAAAAGCATTTTGAGCAAAGGAGAGTGTTTATTTGAAAACTCCTAAAAGCTGTCCACTCCTGTTGCCGCTCAGTTCTTCAGTGGGATGCAAGACGGAGAGTTTAAAAAAAAAAAAAAAAACTTTTTGGGTGAGCAGGAAAAGGTGGGATGTATTTTTTTTCTTAAAACTTTGAAAATGTGCCTCAGACACATTGCCGGCATTCTTTGTCAGCCTCCCCTTTATGTTGCTTTGTACTGTGCTGTGGCTTTTTGAAGGGAAGAAGCCATTATTTCTGCCACCCCTTTAAAAAAAAAGATCTCAACTCTACAGAGCCATAATGAGGTGAGGAAGATGATGGTTTGATGAAGGCTTAGCAGCAGAGAGGAAAACATGAGGGCAAAATTACACTTACATCTTTTGTGCACTTTGCTGCAAACCATATTGCGACTGTATATATATATATTTTTACACATCATATTCATGCTCTTATCAGCTTAAAGAACCAAAAAGAAAGATATTATGAGACATAGGAGCATATCGGCACATCATTTTTTTTTTTATATAATGCCGATTTTGAATGCAAGACCTTCTAGCTTTTACTTACAGCGGTGCACTGGATAATTAAAGATTCTGAATGAAAGACTGAATAAAGAATGGACTGAGTTACGATTTTTCACAGAGTGAAGAGGCACAAAATAACCTCAAATGGCAGCTTAACTGTAGAGGTAAAACATAATTGTTTTATTAATAACCGTCGGTGGCTAAAGTATTGGGACCCGTTTAATTAGTGTGTGAGAGGTTTACGCCTGAGTCAGTGGGGCAAACGCATGTGAGCGCTCTGATTTCTTTGTACTTGTCATGGCAGGAATACATGGCTGGATTAATGATGCCTCCACTTTTTCTTGCTGCTATTTCTGCTGGTTCATTATCAAGTTTTACTGGAAGTAACTTTGCCCTTGTTAATGGCATTCATTACACCTGTGCCTTTTCCACTGTGACAACTCAAAATGTCACCGGTTAGAATTAAAATCATCCACACTGTATGAGGTCACAAAGAAGCCCAGGACAGTTTCTAATCAGCCGAATGTCCCTCCTCCATTTACTGAGGCCGGTGTTGAATTGTTGCCCATCAGGAAAACATTCAGCATAAGCTATGTTGATGGCAAAGCGGCAAGAAAGCAGAAAGAAAAAAAACTGTTTTCCAACAGTAAGAAGCTGCCCGTCTGCTTTAGGATTTTGAGCGTAGCCATTAAATGCAGACATGTTGGATTTTCCATGAAGTACTGTGCTTACGAGGTATAGAGAGCATGTTGTGTGGCATTTAAAACAGGCCCTTAAAAAAACAAACCGAAATGGATGAAGATGATTTTAATGTTTTTCTTTCTCAATAGCTATCTTTTAAATGTCAAGTAAAAGTAGTGATTTTCTTTTATGACGATGCCACTAAATGTAAGAGCCCATTCAGTCTCAGATCTTTTAGAGGAGTTGGACATTGTGCTCTTTCAGCTTTGTCTTCTTTCTCCTCTTTGAAAAAAATATTACTTTGTGCTAAAAACTGTGACACTCAAGCCTTTTTTCCCGGCTGGGTAACTACAGCCTATTTTTCTGTTTGCAGAGTCACACATGCTCACAAAAGACCTCCCTTTCCTCATCTGGACTTGTAGACATGGCCTTTGTTTAAGTGGACGTTTGAGTAATTCTAAAAAGACACACTTGCCATTTATTTAGATATTTGACCTTTGGATTTTCTCTTCATTCAGATCTTGCAAAAATGACAATACGTAGCAACTCTAAGCTGTAAAGTGATTTCAGTAATTGTTGTGTGAGTGCATATGACTTCAGCACTTATTTTGTTCTGTGACACTTTTATCTAAAAGGGAGCTCTTTATCTGTTTTTTTTTTATATTCAAAGTTTTCGTCAATGTCTCTGAGCAGTAAGACTTCCCTCTTCCATTTTTCTTCCCAGCTTTGTTATTTGGTTATCTCTCGCTTTCCTGTGTTCAATTGTAGCTCAGCTCCTTTTTTTCTGTCATACTTTGCCCTCAATTTAATTTTCACAGCCTTAACATTTAAAAACAGCTTTCATCCTACCTTGCTCTCCCTCACTTTCACTTTTATTTCCTTAATACTTTTTTCGCTCATTGCACTTGTCTTCTACCTTTGTTGGCCAGCAACCTTGGATTTAAACATAGTGTAGACTGCACACCTCCATTAAATGAGGTTCCTGAAGTACACATGTAGAAAGCTCATAATAAATGGAAAGAAAAGATTAACGTGGAATGCCTCTGCTTGGGTTCCTGCTTTCTCCTGTTTCTACTTGTCTTTCTCACTCATTGTTTCTGTCTTGAGCTTAGTTTAAGAGGCTGATACAATATGAGGCTTGAGGGAAGCTGTTTGCTTTGTGATATGTTAGCAGGGCATCTGTTGGATAATAACTTTAAAGGTCTCCTCAGACGTGTCCTTCCTCACCCTCTGTTAAATCCTCTTTTGCACTCCTGCGATTCTCTCTTTCTGTGCCTTCTTCATTCTTTAAATCTGTTTTTTTTTCTCTGCAAGGCCCATCCAATCTTCAGTCCTTTCACTGCACCTCCTGTTTTTCTCAGTATCTCATAGCAGGTGTTTGTGAGGCATTTCTACTCCTGTAGTTCCCATTTTCGCATGGAGTGATTCTCCCTGCTGTCGTCTTGGTTCCCTCTGCCAGACTCTAAGTTGCCAAGTACCTAATTGGTCACTTAGTTTGTGCAGGACCTCTGTCACTGGCCAAGAAGACAAAACTTTCAATGTTCTCTAGAGGAGCTGAGCCTTTCTGAATGATCCCTGCCTGTCTTGTCACTGCATGGCCATGTTTTAGAGTAATTATAGACAGAAGTGTGTATAAGGATTTATTGCATATTGTAGACGCAGCTGTGTGACGTCCGACTATCTGTGTTTCTCTGCAATGCCGCTCCAGAATCTCAGAAAGAATTTCATGAATGACTATAAAAGTTAGATACCTAAATAAGAAACTATTTGCTGAAAGAATACAAATGATTTATTTCTGAAAAGGCAAACGGGAGCTTCTGATTACAGGGGATAAATAGGTTCAAATGCTTCATTTTCATTGCTAAGGAAATATGTTATGTGTGCTTTGAACTTATGTATTACAAAGTATTATTGTGCAAAGTGGTGGTTAAACATGAAAAAGCTCTTTGTCTTCCATGCGGAAAGAGGGCCTTTGGCTTATTTTATTGTTCATTTTATGAAAAGAGGTGAAAACCTTCTTTTGTGTGCCTCCCTCTCATTAGCTTTTTGCTGAGCCAGAGTCGGGCTCATGAAGTTGTACAACTCCTGTCTTTTCTGGGAAAGAAGACAACTGTCCTTCACTCGCTTATTATGCATGTGATGATAATGACATTCTGAAAAAGAGCTGAATGATTTGAATTCAAAGCTGTCATATGTAGAATGTGAGACATTTCGAGTAGGCAGACAGTATCCTGGTAACTTACCCTACATATCTATTCAATTCACCATTTATTTATCCAGAATACTTGCAGGAATGTTCTATCATTGGGTGTTAGGCAGGAATGTTTTTCAACTGCGAGTGCCACTCTAATTAAGACATATATTCTTGAACATTTGAATTTCCGTGGGTATTCATCCCTAAAACATAATCTTGTTTACACAAAACGACAGAAAAACAGTGACAATGCAATAATTAAAGTGAGAAAACGAACTGCTTGGGTACAGAAAAACAGTGGCTATGCAATAATTAAAATGGGTTGAGGCAAGAAAAACAAGCACTCTGGTGGCAAAAATAAACACCTGACTTCTTCAAATCTATTAAGGACTGAAAACAAAAGTGAAATGTGAAGTAATTACCTATTTTCCCCATTTAAATTACCTTGTGCTGTTTTCCCAGGGCAGTGATGAGTTTTTTTGTGCAGCCAGCAGTTTGATTGTAGCTGATTTTCTTTGAGCAGAAATGTACCCTGTTACAACAGCTGCCAATGACAGAGCTCTGATGTTCCATTGGTCAGTTGGTAATTTGGGAGATGGCACACAAAAGGGGTTTTTGGAAAGATCTTTTAGACTATTTGTAAGGACCAAGTTTGGGACACAAAGAGGGAGACAGCCCTGAACAAACCACGCCTTAACAGAATAAAAGTACTCCGATTGAATTTTCTTGTCAAGTCAACATTTTTTACGGACTTTCTTGGTGTCCTTCTTTGTTCTGTTGTTTAAGAAATATAAAGCTACATCGTCCTAAAGTTGAAAAAGGAAATGCAGTCTGTACAGTAATTCTACTGGTGCTATTTGATAAGTTTTCATTCTTGACATTTTTAGAGTCTTTTAAAAGGGTCTGCTTTTTATCGTATTGTACTCCCCGATAAAACATGTGCTTGCTTACAGACACTACTACTAGATTTGTTATGGTTGGCAGGTGCAGGATTCTAATAAACGTCTTTAAAAGGACAATATGCTTTTTCCTCGTAAAGTATTGTTGGCTCAGAAGGATAAATCATTGTTCAGCCAACAACAATAATAAACTGCTATTTCAAAGTTAAGAGTTTGACAACAAACTTGTTGCTTGCATATCTTGGTTCTCCACATTTGACTCAAGTGACAGTCGAAACAATGACATCGTTTGGTTCATGACCTGACATTTTTCTGGATGATTGGTTTGACACTTGATTGAGAATTCCAGCATTTATCCAAAAGAAAATCTTGACGTGCATTTGATTTGGTTCTCAGCTCTAATTAGCGATGAAGTCTTGACAGTCTGACTACCATCCTCTGCTCTTGGCAAGGGGCTATGATCCCCCCCTGGATTTGAAAACATTTTCCATATAAGGAGTTGGTTCACTTAGTTGCCTCTGTCATCTGTTTAGGAGCTTAGCTCTGCTAATGAAATTGGAGCCCGTGCTTGTCACACATACATGTCTGAGATGGTGTCGCGCAGAAACCTGTCTTTGAAACAGCTCTCACTTACAAACTTTTGTCCGTTGACAGACGTCAAAACAAGTGAGGAGAAGTGGCTGACAAGCAACATATTGAGACGATGTGGTAACCCACACGCTCTGCTAGAATTCTCATTATGCAAGTGCCACCTAGTTTGACAAGTGTGCCCGTGTGCATTTAATTCATGTGTGTGTCAGCGGCTGTGGAGTTACCACAGTGTGCTGCCCCCCCGTCAATCACCGGTGCTGATGGAGAGCAGTGCCAGCAAGAGAAAAACAAGACTGTGGGGAATGTGGTGATTAATTGCAAAGCTGTATCTTGCAGAAAAGTTGCCAACTTGGCAAACGCGGACACAGTAGATAAAACACGAATTTGTTTTATCCTAGACAATGACATGAAGAAAATATGTTTATCTTGGCTTAAGCAGTCTACTGAACGTATACTGAGACCTGGCTGTTGGCCATAATAAGAGGCAAAAAGAGTCAGTGTCTATAGATTATGGTTTGACTTATTCTCCTGACTTTCCTTCTGAATATCTGAGTAGGTTTCCCATAAGACTCAGTAACACATGGTCGTGATTACTTTTGTTTTTTTGTTGCTGTCTTGTGGCACTTAAACCACACGATTGGGCTTAGGTATTGAAATTTTATTTGTGTGTTTTTTGGCAATAATATCATCACGACTTGCTTCAAAAGACATTCTCTGGAGTCCTGCTCCACTTGTAAAACAGCATTATGTGTAACGTGTTTGTTTATTTTTTCCCTCATTTTTCAGCCTGAGAATGAAATTCTTTGTCATTTCAACCTCACAATATCTGCCGTTTCCGCCCCCCGTCTTTTAAGAGTTATATTTTTTTGTATGTTAATTTCCCAGCAGACTTGGAAGACTATTTCAAAAGACATTCATTTGGCTTGACAGTTTCTATAATTCTGTGCAACTTTTTCTTTTTCCATTTCCATGTATCATCTGTAAAGTCTCAGCTCCTTAACTCAACCGAACATGAAGTGACTGATGGGGAAAGGATGTTTAGGGATGCTCGCTCATGACATATCCTGTATTTTCCTCAGGGATGATGAGCATGCCCTGATCCTCCAGTACTGCCAGACGCTAGGAGGGGAAGGCTCCCCGTGCAGCCAGCCGCAGAGTCCTGCTCAGATCCTGCAGGCTGTGGAGAGGGAGGAGCGAGGCGAGTTGGAGCAGATCATTGCTCGACTGGAGGAGGAGCAGAGGTAAGCATTAAAGCTGTAAAAATGTTGCTTGTGCATGATTTATTAGGATGAATAGGATCTCTCTCTCTCTCTCTCTCTTCTGGTGCTTTGTCTGGATAGATTCTAACTTATTTTAACATTAAACTAGAAAAGTCTTTGTTATGGACACTAATGATATACCTTTTACTGAAATTGTGACAAATTTGGCTATTTTTGACTCTCTGATAGTTTGACTCTCTGGGTTCACTAGTGTAGTCTTGTATGAAATTCAGTACAGCTATTCACACTTCCTGTGACCTAAATGTCAATGATTGAATGTTAAATCTGTTGTTGTTGGGATGCTTTTTTGCACAGCCAGTGGCCTGACTGGAATGATTTAGCGCTCAATACACACAGACATATACGCTCAGGGAGGATGGGGCAGAGAGTGAGAGCTTTACTGCCAGGCTCATAAATGCCAACTTAAGTAAAGCACTACAGCTTATGGTTCTGCACCACGACAGAGAGCACGAGGAGGAATTGAGGCGAGAGATTTGGTGCGGGCCTTTTATGTTTGTCTATCCACTTGAAGCAGAATTTTTTAAAACGGCTGAAAGCGAACGGAAACACAAGTTAGGGATTTTGTTTGACACCCCAATGTGAAGGTTGTGGATGAAGCTGTTGAATGTTGTTTGGAACTCTTTTTATGGATCTCAACAACAAAAACCATACAGTATGCTTTAATTGTTTGATGTCCCAGCTCTCAAGTATTGTGAAGTGATGACTGTCTGGAGCCCAACATAAGGGTCCCACTGTGTTATGTGTAGAGCCAACTGCATTTGCTGTTTCTTCTTAATTCGGGTAATTGTGCCTCTGACCCAACTTCCCCAGGACTCTGCAGAGGGAGTATGAGCAGCTGAAGGAGCAGCACGGCCAGCGCGGGCCCACTGCCGGAGGCCCCCAGGAATCAGAGGTCCCCGCCGGCAGCCCCGATGAGGCCGACCTTCTTGCTGAAGCCAAGCGGTTGCGACAACATAAAGGCCGGCTGGAGGCCCGCATGCACATCCTGGAGGAACACAACAAACAGTTGGAGTCACAGCTTCACCGCCTTCGGCAGCTTCTGCACCAGGTGACAGAAGGCTTACCATTTATCAGACTGCTGGATATATATATACTGGTGATATGTACTGATGTGATTAAAGTCTGACTAAAGCAGAAGTTAAATCTATCTTTTGAAATGGTGACATCCCAAATAAATGATTTATTACAACAAGTATTTGATGGCATGTCCACTTTAAATTGATATATCAGCAAATATGAAATTCAAAAAAGGATCAAAGAGCCTGATTTCTCCAAAGTGAACAGCTAAGTTGAGACATCAACCATAAAAACTACACATGACATTCCTATTCTGATGATTAGATCATTTGTTCTTATGGTTCATGAACTTCTTTAGCCTGCTTTAATAAATCATATTTATGTTGGAAACAAAACCCAGAAGTTCTTAAGACCAACCACTGATGAGAGGAAGCTGCTGTCTCTCCGTTATGGTATCTCATAATTGAGTGTTTTCAGAATACAGCAAATATAAATAACACAGTAGAATTGGGGTTGATAATTTCTGTACCACTAAACAATTAGACAGTTTGTGGAAAACCAGTTTTCACTGGATATTCAGTCAGGATTTGGATTGTGCTCTCTAAACTTAAATTAATACATTTCTCCAGAGTAAGATATTTTCTATATACAGTACGGACAGTCTTCTTTGAAAAAAGTGCAAGCACAGCTCTAATTTGAAGGTTTCCCCATAAGTTGACTGTCCCTTTTGTTCATTAGGCTTGTTGTTGGGGAGCAACAGGGCAGTAATTTCAGTTCAGACTCACACACACCAGCTGGCAGGGATGTCTCCGAGCAACTCATTAATTTAAAAAAGGAAAAAAAAGAAAACTAATTAAAAAAGTGAGACACTGAGATGAATTGCTTTGAATAAAATGGAAAGATCAGCATGAATATATACTTGTAATTATTAACTCCCGTGTTCACACATCATGTGATAACTCATTTAGTTTTTTTCCTTTGTGCCTGTGGATAAATAAGACTGATCAGCTCTCAGATTTGATCCTAATCGCCTCATAAATATTCCTCTCAGGCTCCATCTCTTGTCCCTCTATCAATAACTTCCAGATTTGTTTGCGCCTGACCTAAATACTCATTGAGGTCAGACAGTTTGTGCACATTCCCCAAGCCAAGCACGAAGCAGTCCTGTCGAATCCGTCTGTGGGGAAAAACGACGCGGTCAGGGTGCTGGCTCCACGGTAGCTGTGGAGCAGGAAGCACCATAACAGGAGATGGCTTACATGACTCAGCAGTTTTGACATTGAAATGTTACAAAAATTACATTGTGGAAAAAATAATTTCTCTTTGGAATAATTGTTCAAACAAGATGATTTAGCGTGAAGCATTAGTATTTCAGAGCTGCATGATGCTGTTCTTAATTACCTGCAGATGCTTTTTGGAGGTCTAACTCATTCTACTGTGTATGTGCTGCATTTGATTTTAGGAAACTAGCTGAGATTGTTGGATTTTGAAGTAAAATCATACTGCTGTAATTCTGAAAGGCAAAAAAAAAAGGAAAGACAAACATGATAGCATGCTCAGTTCACACTCAAAACCATCCCCTTGCCAAATAAGAACTCCCATCATCTGACATTTGAGTCCCCGGAGACATGAAGATATGTCAGCATGTCCTTCCCTCACCTGCAGCGACAAACTGCCAAGCTCAAGAATAATAAACTCAGCTGACTTCAAGGCAAGAATTAAATTCACCCCCCTGAAGGCCAAGCAAAGCCCCCATCTCAGTTATTCCAAGATGAGGCCTGATATAACGGCCGTCCTCTTGGGACATTTCCAACCCGTTAACCTCTATTCGCTCTTGGGGCAACAGGAGATGAAGGAAGAGAAGATGACGATGGTTATTAGGGAGGAGGGAAGCAAGATTTATTTAGTTTCTTGCAGCTGAAAAGCTAAAGGGAATGTGCTATTCTACCGTAAATGTCACTAGACAGGCAATGTTTGTTCCTTGGAATCTGAAAAGCGATCAGTTTTATTCAGTGTCCTTTATACGTAATTTGAAACTGAAGCATCTCAGTAATGATACATTATGTTATTAATCTGTGAGTCGGTTAGCGGTTAAACTCTCCCTTCGGCTTAAAACAGTGTGTTCAGGGATGTCCACTGTGCTTTGGGACTCACTGCGGGCCAAGGCAGTTGTGAAACTTCAGTGTTTGAACCAAAAGAACACTGCTGTCTCTCACAGAAAATACTGTATCCTATCAAAAAAACATGCTGAGATTGAGAACGGGCCGCGTCTATTGAGGGTCGTGTGTATTTACCGTCTGCAGATCCAGCCCTGGCAGCTCCTCGAATGCTTCGGGCAAAAATGTAATGATATGAAAGTGGAGCTATTAAACTTTGATGTTGTTTCTTACTTTCATTGTGGCACAAAGATATTTGCAATATCTTTTGGCCAGTTGTCATAAGTTTCATTTTAATCATTCATATTGGCATTCCAAGAGCTTTAATCTGCCAGGAAGAAAAATCACCTTTGGGGTCTTTGGAAGTGAGTCAGACTGTGCCGTCTTATATTTAGTGTGGAACATTGGCGGGGGCTTGTTTTGGGAAATGTTCAGGTGCTCATAAAGGCAACTTTCTTTTGCCTCCCACTGGGATTCTCTTGTTTTCAGCCGCCTCTGCAAAGCGCAACTCGTTTTGAAATTGTCAAGCAGATGCCAAGCATAATAATTATGTTATAATGATTAGGTTCCCCCCCCACCCCCACCCCCACTCATTCCCTGTCTGTGTGTCTCTCAGCCGGAGGTGGACTCGAGGGTGAATGGATCATCCTCTCCCACCGTGCATGATCGAGGACCACTTACTGAAAACTCAGGTGAGACACTCAACCTCCAGAAAAGTTCCAAGCATTTAGTCACCATTGGAAAAAACCTCCATGTCAGCGTTTGTGTTTGTGTGTTCAGATGAGCTGCTGGACCCCCACAACAGCAGCTCTGACCTGGCAGATGTAATGGAGCAAATTAACAACTCCTTCCCTGCATGCAGTCGTAAGTCCTCAACCCCCCCCAGCCCCTGCAGGCTTCCCCACATGGAGAGTTGTCATGCACTTTATGTAACAAATATGTGTGCATCGTTATTTATCATTCTTAAATCCCCAAGTGATTTAGCATCAAATTAGCAACTGTCTGAGAGAAGCAGCATCCAATCGAATAGCATCATATCATGTAAACTAACAAGTGCTATGAATACATTCATCCACAATAAAGCAGCTCTTTTTTCAGCATCATCAGTCATTATGATTTAAAATGTCACATGGAGTACATCCTTTGTCCAGTCGTTTCCTCTCCTCCCCCATCACCCATTCATTCTGTCACTGGCACGTTTGTACTGGCTTCCTGTGTTCAGATGTCTGGTAGAGGTGAGGGCAACTCCAGCAGCTCTGCTCATATTTCCTGCAGTCCGAAAAAAACACTGCGGGGAATTTCATTGTCATTCATTTTGTGTTTGCTATAATAATAATGATCATAAAAAACCTTCATTAGTCTTACTCACTGAGTTTGTCATAATATGTTCCTTAGAGTATTGAAAGTGTAAACAAAACGTTATTGAACACAACTCAGCGGCTTTTTATTCCAGTTTTTAGGGTAGAAATTCCTACAAGGGCTTTAGGTAAAAATCCATTTTAATCTTGCTCCAGCATTATTAGGCTTTGGTAACTGCGTGGCTTGGAGGCAGTGGGACTGAGCAAAACACTGCTGAGCATGGGCATGAATATATGAGAGGCACCCAGAGGCTGATGATTTAGTGTAAAAATAAAGACTAAACAGAAGAAAGAAACACAAAACACAGATGATATGAAAAGTTCCAAGTGTTAAACTTGTGTCTTGTTTTTCCTCCCTCAGCTTCGAGCCACTCCTCCAGACAGCAGGTAAGCCTGGGCTCCTCTGCAGTCAGACATCACAACTTTGAGTTGGTCAGCGACCTGTTTGCAGCTTGTTGTTACGTCTTCTTGCTCTGTTGTCGGTTTTGTTGAATGCATGTATTGTGATTTGGTAAATGTGGTTGAAGGCCACATTTTAGAAGTAATTATAGCCTGGGCCACAAAAGCATTGCCCTCCATGTAGCCCTTACCTGCACTCGTATCTTGCGGCCTGTGACAAAGTGTTGGCTAATGGATCTCTGGGGAGTGCCATTAGTGACTATTCTCATTCCTTTGGTCTCCCCTCTGCCAAGGTACATTTCGGGACTGAGGTGTTATGAAAGCTTTTGTCACCGAGCTCCTCTCACTGATTATTTACTCCCCTGTGGTGTTAACTCAGCCGCACTCATCTCATCAGTCAACCTCTTTTCAATTCATTTGGCTTGTCTCTTGGTACGCGTCTAATACTTTTATGTGCCATTTAAAACACCTGTTGCCATGATGTAATCTAACGCAAGTGTAAACGTTTCGTTTTCAGATCAGGTTTATAGTGGCAAAATACTCATGTTCTCCTGCCCACTTTGCATGCAGCGCACGCTGGGAATAGTCATCTATTATTCAAATTATTTATGCAATCATCATTGAGTTTTAATTGATGCAGCAGGAACAGGAAGAAGGAACACAACGTTGTTTATTGTTTTCTGAGAGGACATTGAGAGTTCATCGCCTTATAGAATCAGAAGAACAGAAGGGCTGTAAGAAACCTTTGTTCCACCTCACTGTTATTAGGAACAGAAATGTCATCCAGTTCTGGGAATTCATGACAAAATGACAGCATGTCGCAAGATTTGTTTCTTTAACACATGAAATTTGCTGAAAGGTGGACCCAAAGATGCAATTACCTCTAATAGGCATTTGGAGGATGCTATGCAATTATTTGTCATTTGGATTCGATACTCCTGCTCAGTAAGCATGAGCCCTGCAGGTGTCAGTTCCAAATGGCAGAAAGACGACACCGTAATCTGCCGCTCTTTCTGAGAAAATCCACTAGTTATGGTTTTCTCAGTAAGAATATGAAGTTGGATTAATTTCATATTTGCCAAATTAGTGGTTTTTCCATGCTCTTAATTAAAGATAACAAAAAGAAAATGGAAAATCAGCAACTACCAATACATTTTCCACCAGCCTATTGCCTTTCTTACATCCTGCTCCTGCTCTTTACATAAACTGGTGAGATGTTAAGTAGTCTCATCTCTAACAAGAGAATCATAGTTTCATCCTCCTCTGTCTCCTCCTCACTGGGCTCCTAATGGACTGTAACTGACCCAAGACACTGCAGTCCATTTTCCAGCCTTTAAACCCGATTACTACGTTCAACTTCTCATGTTTCCACACACTGATGTCTTGATGAAGAGAAATGAGGCATGCTCACCTGCTGCACTGTTCCAACTTTTGAGAGTGCACATGAGTTCGGACACACACATCCTTCAGCTGTGTGATGCATTCACATCTAAAATAGAATCTATGGCCATTTGTGTTTGAAAATGCTTTTAACTCAACAGTTTTCTGGTTCAAAGTGTTTTACGTCATCTCTCCGTGTGTTTTCAGGTGATGTGAGGATGGCCCCACCTCGGAGTGTGTACATGTGAAGAGAGGAGAGAAGAGTGCGAGACCATTCCCAAACAATTCCAGGACCCAAAGACGCACAGAATTAGACAAATGAACTACTTTTACCATCATGTCTTGTACTATGCAAACTGTACATTTTGCCAGCTAGATTGTATTTGATCCTTAATGAACATCTGTCAGTTTTTTCTTTAAGTAAGCAGATGAGAATATGGACACAGGGCTTTATATATTGAAACATGGTTGTTTTTTGTTTTGTTTTTTCCAAGCATTGTTTTGGAATCCTTTGGGTCAGTTTTTGAGTTAAGCCTTCACTCAGATTCTAAGTATTTTTTTTGTCATTTTTTTGTCATTCCACTGCCATCTACCATCTAATTATGTTGTTATTTGCCCATTGAAGTAGCCACAGTCTTAAGTGTTTGGGAGCACACACAGTTTCTGAGAGAGAATTGTCAAAGGCTCTAAAGATAATTAGGAAAATGTACCTTCACTTCTGAAATCTGTCCTGTAGCATGCTTGATGTCAAGTTCCCCTTTAAAGCGTTGATATACCGGCCGATTTTGTCTGGACTGAGGTTCGTTAATGTAAACTTATCCCCTTGTGTGCCTATACAGCTCGTCATTCCAGATGTGCAAGACAGAGACAGGAATGACAATTGATGAATTCCAGTGGGATTGTGAATAAAGAGAGATGTTTTTGAAAATATAGATTTAAATCTGAAGTTGTCCTGAATCTGGCTTTGTAAGAGGCCTATCATTATGTAGAATAGCTGTTGTGTGTTTTTCTTCTTTTCTTTTCTAAGAGATATATGTTGAGAAATCAGAGGAAAGCCATGATTGCCTTGCTACCTCAGACTCATAGACACAGTTTTGTTTATTTTAGTTGTAAAAAACAGTTGTGATCCTTGACAGTCTGGTTTAACCTTTTTACGCTTTAGCTTACTGTATCGATGTACACTGCATTGAGGAGTTACCAAGTAAAAAAATAAATAAAGTCATTACTGTATCACAAAGGGTCTGTGGCCTGCTGAAGCTAGCCTCCCGATACAATGAGTATCACTTTATCCGTTGTTGGGTTTTCCACTGGCCTTCTAGCACTGGTCCCTCACCGCGTTGTGTTGTTGTGCTCTGTGCTATCCTGTAAAACTTGTGAGACCGAACAACACTACTATAACCTCCTCTCACTGTAGGCTATAGTGTTGCTGATGATTTTAACAATTACAATCATGATGAACTTTGTCATGGCAGAACTGTGTCGCTTCTCCTGAGGTATGTAAAATAGACTGACCACACTACATGTACTATGGCTACGTTGTTTTATTCTAAATAAATTTTTTATAACAAGCAAGCACATTTCCTTTTTTTCTTTTTTTTTTTTTTTTTTATCCGGAGAAGGTGATTGACGTAGTAAATATTGAAACAGGGATAGGGATGATTTACAGCAGATAAACTCAACTTGCCGCATGGCTCCAGTCTATGTTTAGAGAATATTGGCCTCATTGCTGCTTAGCTCTCAGTTGTCATCTGGCCAGAACTGTTGTTAATTATCAGAGGAATTGATCATGCATTGAAAGGGTGAATTATTATCATACGTGTGCAGGAAGCATCCTGAGATGAATGAATAAACCTCTCTGAATTAATTATCAGGGCTGATCCTTTGGTCTCTTCGTGGGATGAGCGGGGGTGCCTGTGGGACAGATTTCCCACTTATTCAGTGTCTGTTGGCATGAAACGAAGCTCCAAGTTGCTCCCAATGGCAGTTAAAGCTAGTGGTGAGTTATTCAGAAACATTTTTTGCTTTCTATTAAAGGGATGTTTTGGTTTTAAGAACAAATAAAAAGTTAAGCTTGAGTTTTTTAGAAGCTAATTTTGCATTGCTCACTTGTTTTTAGTATTCAGTTTTCAAACACCCCTCAACTGCATCTGACCTTTGATAAAAGTTATCCCAATCCAGATCAATTGGGTTTTGTCACAAAATAGATTTTCCGACATATCTGAAATATTGGGGGTTAATAACCCCGACCCTAAGGATAGGTTACCTTTATCCTAGGGTTAGGTTACCCTTAACCTGACCCTGTTTTTAAAAAGAATAATGATACTAAAAAGGGGCTTTGAATATTAATCACCCTAACCTAACCAACTTATTGTCTTGTAGTTTAAAAAGACGTTTTAATAGTGCTCCAGTAGCCAAGTGCTAATACATCCTAATTGGATCAGGGGCTACTGTCCTTACTCCGTACAAAATATTCACATCCTTTGGGATCCCTGAGGGGCTTAAATTAGTCTACATCCTCCATTTGTATAATACACTGCAAGAATGAGCTTGAATGTTAAAGTTTCTAAGCAGCAAAGCACCTTTGACTTGAGAAGAGGAGTATTTATCCCCTGCTAGATCACATAATAAAAAGGGCTGCACTGTTGTTAATATTAATGTGAAAATTAAGCCCTATGTGGAGGCAGATTTAGTTGAATCACTGTTACAAGTCAACAAGCTCACATGAAACTTAAAACAAGAGGGCATGGGAATACTTTAATCCAGCTCATATTTTAATGCCTATCTCTTCCACATTAAACTGTTAAGCTCCACACATGGGAGGACTCCTTAGATTAGTCTTCTGCTGGTCAGCACAAAGAAAATCCTTTTAAGGATGTGGAAATAATTATATGATAACGATATGGGCTATATTTCGTGGTTCAACATATAGAGGTCAGAGCTTAGGCAGGGGTTTCCAGAAAATATGGATCCTACCTGACATGCCTCCACGCTTAATTACCCAGATTTGATGATGAAGAACGCTGAGACAACGTTACTGCGACTTACTACGGGTATAAGGATTATCTTAAGGAGAAAAAAATAAAATGAGATTCATTCAGATCCATTTCCCTCTTAGTATTCCAATTTGCTGTGCTCAGCCCTGGATGGGCTTCAGACTGGCTCACAATGGAAAGAAAGTAATTTCTTTTATTTACCCCGTATGCCAACAAAGATCAAACTGCAATTTAGCCAATTAAGGTGTAGTGACAAAAAGTAATTTTATTTGAAAATGGCTGCATCGGTCAGCTCTCAGCGATGTGCCCTAACCAGTAGCCCTGATTGAAACTTCTACTCGCACATACCCACACCAGATGTTTCATTGCTCTTCACTCTCTGTCACAAGCATCAAAACACCGACGAGTCTTTCACCACTTCCATAATCAATTTAGTCATATAAAACTATAAAGCTATAAAACAATCATAATTATTGTCTTGGCAATATATAAAGTTGTATGATTGAAGAAACAATGATGTTTACACATGGTCTGGCAGTTATAGCACAGCTTTGAACACAGTGTGCTGGAGGAATTTGGCAGGAATGTGCACTGAACTTTTGATTAACATTTTCTCGTCCTCTGGTCCCTAAACTCCCTCCTGTCCCACCCGCTGTGATCTGCTACACTAATCGTTTTTGCTTTGAAGCGACTGATCTTTTTTATCCAGATCTTGGTTTTGGTCGTCTCAGCTGTCCACCAACCAAACCAGTTTCCTGGTTTGAACAGTGACCCCGATCTTGCTGGATACTAATTCCGACCTTTCGTCTGCCCATTTTTCATTCATGCTTCATGCAGCTGTCCTCTTTGATCAGGTGCTTGGCAGGCGGTGACTGAGCTGCTGTGGTGGCGTGGGAGTCTCAGCAGATCTCTGCCCCCCGGCACAAAGCAGGGGCGGGGTACAGATG